TGTCATTTTGCACCGCGGGGCCTCGGATTACAACATCGTCGTATTACATTAAGGCTTCTTGGAGGTTTTTACAAACTATATTTCAGAGGCTTTGTTGAGCTGCAGCTGCATGAGAAGCAACAGAAGAGAAACTCTGGAGATGAAGATTTGGCTTTTTTTTCCAGCTTTTTAAGAACTTTAATTGTTTTTGCAGATTCACTCCACCTAAAATCACCTCAACCATCCTGAAATGATTCGTTCTGTCCAAACACAGCTGTTCAGGTCACCTGCTGTGAGCGTCTGCAAACACTCAACAACAGTTTTACAATTTATACTTAGATTTTCTTAGTATACTTTTACATTTAAGCTTAAACGTTCGACTGATGTTTATCTTTTATTTTTAAGACTTTGAACGCGACCTCAGGCATCAGTGAAGTGGTTCCGATTCTGATCTTTTCAACATTTATTGCAGACAAACTGCAGCTGTGTCTCAGGTGGTAGAGCGGTTGTCCTCTGATCATAAGGTCGGCGGTTCCACCCCCCGGCCCTCCACAGCCGAAGTGTCCTTGGGCAAGACACTGAACATGAAGTTGCTCAGGACAGCACCTTGCATGGCAGCTCTGTGGTGTGTGACTGATCTACTTTGGATGAGAGCGTCTGCTAAATGAAACTGGAAACCCGAGTTCTCCGAGACTCACGTGAGCGAGTGAACTCCCTCCGACAGCGACGCCGACTGCAGGCAGCGTCTCCGTCCGGCCGAGGCCGAGTGGATCAGGACGCTGTCGGAAACCAGAGCACAAAGAAGGGGTTAAACCGTCGGCCTCCTCACATGCTGTTCATGCTGCTGATTGGGCCGCTCTACCTTCCCTCCTGAGTCCCGATCCAAACGGTTCCTGCCGAGTCGCCTGATGACAGAAGAGAAGCCGAGTGAGCAGATCTGGCCTCCCAGAGCTCCCAGCTAAACAGTAAAACCACAACACTGACCTACGGGGGGCACGGCGCAGAGGCAGAGGGCTGGCGCCGTGGGAGGCAGGCTGAACTGGTCCAGAACCGTGTTGGAGCGAGCCGGGTCGATGACGGTGATGTCGCTGCAGGAGGCGGGGCCAGACACCACCCAGACCGAGCACTGTCGGAGTGAAGACAAGACGGGAAACATGAGGCGACCTGCAGCTCGGCGGGTCGGCCGCTTGGAACGAGACGGTCCGGTGACAGACTTACCGTGGCTTCACCTGAGACCTCAGGTGTGACGGCGACCGCACAGTTCAGCTGAGGACAGAAGGAGGAGGATGCGGGTTTAACAAAACCACAGAGGGAGTTTCAGAACAAAACACTTTGATACAGAGACGACTTTTACTCAGACATTAAAGCTCATTTTCGGGTCATTTATTCTTAAAACGTCAGGAACCTTCAGCTCTGATTCTCTTGAAAGTTTTTTATTTCTGAAAAAGACATATTTATAAAGATGTGTGTGAAATTTTAGACGAATATATCAAATACTTCCTGAGATGATAATAAAAAAATGTATTTCTCACATTGAAATTTTCAGCTGTTTGAACGACGACATCAGGAACTATTCAAGATAAAAACCTTTTATTTTATTTTATTTTATTTCTGTTATTTCTTCTTCAGAATCTGTAATATTGAGCAAGTAGATCAAATCATCTCTGATTATGGTGGAGATGAAGATGATTTTTATATTTTAGCTTCATATGTCGCATAATTTTCAAGATGCTTTTAAAAATCACCCAAACAATTTCTGCTCGACCGTCTCTG